CTCGGCTCGGCGCGCACCAGACACTGACACAACTTCTGTTCATCTAATACAACTTCAATAATCTCAGCATTGCTGATGATATACAGTACATTGTTTATTGATATATGATAACACGCTTTAACTGTTTGTTACTGTAAAAGCAGAAACTCTGTCAAATTGTAAATCCTAAGATTTATTAGCCAGTTACGGTTAAAATTCGAATTATGTTCTTAAAACGATTATATAATTTATGTAACTTTTTTATGAATTAAAATCAATTAAATTGTTTCAGATTTTTAGAGATGCATACATTTATTGATATGTAGCATGTATTTGAACCTATTTAAATGGCATGATATAATGCCATGATTAATAAAAGGAAATGCGCGAAACAAAGGAAACCAAAACTTATCGGTGTTTACAACATGTATTTGGTAAATGTTGTGTGCTTCCAGCCAATCATAGGATTCAACTTGCTTTGCTTCTCTACAGTAACATGTAATAGGTATATACATTTACAATTGAGATATTTTTTAAATTTCTAATAAGCAATTACAATAGATTTTAAACAATATTCATGAATACAAACATTTTGCAGACATGATGCTGTCGCCACGGAGAACATCGATATCAACAACATAGTAGTGGCGATCGGTGCGGTTGACGCCACACGCCACACGCCACACGCCACACACCGCACGTCGATCGCTGCCGCGCTCTACGCCCTATGTACAACTTTACGCCCTAGCGCCACATATCTACGTATATAACTATGGCTAACCTATTTATTTATTTACTAGCTATGGGTATGTATTTACATACTTGTCTATATATTTAATACCTATTAACGGCTTGCGGGCGTGTAGCGCGTGCGGGGAGTGCGGGGAGTGCGGGGCGTGAGGGGCTGTCTGTGGCAACCAGTTTGGTGCACGGCTTACACAACCGTATGATTAAACATTTTATATATCTCTACGTACGTAAAGTATCACCCTCGCCCCGCCGCGTCTCTGAATTGGAATGCTACCAAAGAATTGTTAATAATGAGTGTGCTTGCACTGCGTGTATAATAAGACTGAATGTTGCCGGGCACATTCGCATATGCAACCCCGCGCGTCCCCGCCGCCCCCGCCGCCACCACCGCCACCACCGCCACCACCGCCCCGTCACACATGTCACATGTCGCATGGTTGTCTAGAGAGAGGTATAGTGCCATACAAACATTGTGGCGGCTCTCAATTAGGTAAGAGACACAGCGCACAATACAATACTAGCTATAGGGGGTATGTGAAGAATGAGTCCGCGGGCCTCTACGCTTCCTCCGCCGAAATGGGACAGCTACACCTTTAACATGTGTATTCGCATAACCGTAATTTAACGTAAACTTTGAATCTTGTAATACAATTTTCCTTGCTTTAGATATACGTATATATACGTATGTACGGCCCGTCCTGTGGCCGCACCACCCTGACCACTGTTCCAACTGGCTCCGCCACAACCACATAAACTATAATATACAATAGCAACACTAAAACGTCTCATGTTGATTATTCTGTGGAATTACATTTCGAGCAAATAGCTAATTTTTAATGTTTAGGGATAATATTGTAAATCAACAATGCTGCGAATAATAATTAATTGAAACTGATAAGAAGTAAGGTGTGGCGTTGTAAAATCAGGCGGTGAAACATCATATTGTTGTTTTACAATAATACAGATCAGCGGTGGCGCGGTGTCGCCCCCCCCCCCTTGCTGGTTGACACTTCGACAGGAGCGGCAGAGCAACGGGAGCAGCACGAGCCGCTCCTGTCGGCTATAAGCTTAACTACGCCTAAACCGATCGCTAGCTAACTTTATGCCTACAACTAGAGTAATGTCTTTCTTTACAGCCTTGCAGTGTTCAGACGACGAACGCGGCCGTAGCCCGCGCCTGCCGCACGCCGAACACGCCGAGCACGCTGGGCACGCCGCGTACGCCGCACGCTACGTGCGCGCCGTGTGCGTCCTCAGAACCAGTACAAATCCTTGGAAGTATCTTGCACCTGCGCCTCCAGACCTGAGACAAAGAACAGTCGTGTTATCGTCGTATGGACCAGGGTGTCAGAGCCGGCGGGAAGCAGTATTTTCTTCATTTCGAATGTTTTCCATGTACGCACCTAGTGCTACTGGTTAGTCACACTATTACATTTTACGTAAAAGTTGATATCTGCTCGGACATTATTTCGAAAAAATTATAATTGCTTACATATATTATGAAGATTTGTCAATAAATAAATAACGTCATGTTAGTAGAGGCAGACGCGCCGACGACTGTCTGTAAATGCCTAAAGATGGTCCTACTTTACGTATGAAATTGAAATATAGTGAAAAAATGAGTGTTGCTAGCGTAGTGATCTTGCGAAAAATAACCTGTCTTCATTATGTTAAGCTTCTGAACCGCAAATACATTCCTGATAATTACAAGTATGTATCTTGATTACAGTGAGTAGCCGTTCAATGGCGGCGGCGATGGTTGGCACAGTCGGTGTGGTCTCAACAGTTGAATAGATTTTAATTCAAGCGTCCGATGTGCCGGCATAGCGGCCATAGCTTCCATAGCGCACATTGCATCGCGGCCGGCGCGCGCTGCGGTATGAGACAACACGGCTCAAAGCTGTGCTGTACCGCGCCGGCACACGTCCCTCGCGCACGTCACGTCACGTCACGTCAATGCGCACGCGCCGCTCTGCGGTTACACAACAGTTTCGCAACAGCAGAGAGATAAATGTAAGAATAGAATATCTGATATATTCTATTCTTACATGAACTGTATCAATGGTCTTTACAGTAAAGCTACATAACCATAAAGGTAACATGTAAATGTAAATAGGTACAGTAGATATTGCAGATATTTCGTTTACGATTCGTTTGTTACGTCAACAACCGTTCAACTTACGACAAATATCGATTTGCAACACTTCATAAAATGTAAGGATAGTCCAAAAAACCATCATGCGTAAAAGGAATAAAAAGTGAAACATTTCAATTTTGATATTTGCTATTGCAAAATTTTACAAAATGTAAGCAACAAATACAGTTTTAATGTGACGCGGATGATGCCGCACCGGAACAGCCGGTATTTCATAGAATATCTATTTTATAAAAATCAAAGAACACCATATTTTTTGTTAAGCATTAAGCTCATAGTACCTATTTTATCGGATTTTGTTTTGTTTTGAAACATAACATTTTGTTTTTACGTCGCTTTCCTCATTTTTGGAATAATTTTTGTTTTCTTCTCGGTTTTTGATGAATCTGTTCGATAGCTAATTTCCATTACATGAATTGGAAAAAAATGTATTAGGATCTCGATAATCTGTCCGCGACAGATACATTGTGAGGAGAGAGCTAGCACAACAACACAATTCTTTGCCAATAGAGACGGCGCAGGGAGTCTCACGAGAACAGACTACAGACACAAGCCGCCGCCGCCGCCGCCGCCGCCGCCGCCGCACTGGCACCGCACCGGGGTCGCAGCGCTGTCGGTGCACAGGTATTAATTAAATGTGTGGAGTGCGTCGACAGCGGCGCGCGCTGGCAGCGCACGGGGAGGAGGCAGTAATTGACATCGCTCATGATTTAGTATCAGGACGCGAGGAGCCCGCCCGAAGGCGGGGCTCACGCCACCGCGATTGGCTCTGCTTCGCCGGGCACGGGCCCCGCCCGCCGCCCGTTGCCGCCTCGTGTTCCTGCTCGCCTGGTAGCAGGCGGCCGCGCGCCGCGCGCTCGCCGCACCGCGCAGCGACGCGGCTGCGTGGCGGCAGGACGCGGCGCATCTCCCATCTTTTACAATGACGGGAACAAACAATGTCCGATCGAATGAACGAGTGCCGTCGCCCTAACTATTTGCGACTACTGTGTGACAAGTGCGCCTTGCTTCGCTAGATGGCGCTTTACACATGCTTAGGAAACAAAGGCTTTACATCAATAACGACAATCGCATTGTAGAATAGAATATGCGGGGGAAGTTTCAACGAAATGCAAGGAGCCTCTACCACACGCTGTTGCAGCGCGGCGGAAGACGGCAGCGCACCGCAGCGCACCGCAGCGCACCGCAGCGCACCGCAGCGCCCCCGTGACTCTAGGAGCTCATTAATGTCTACGTCACAATCTCTGTTGTGTGACAATTATATTAAGTACCAACGTTCGCCCGCGACTTCGTCCGCGTGAAATTATTAAAAAAAAACAATATACCAAATTTCGTCAAATTCCGTTCAGCCGTTTAGATTATAAACTCGAACAAACAACCATCCATGGACCTATAGTTTGTCGTGTTGTTTGATATGAAGTATTGAATTCAATTTGTATGGAGGCAAATGCCATACTTAATAGACAGGTATCTTAGGGACGAAACAAACACGCATAGTTCGCTATGTTCGAATATCGATAGTTCATAATTGTTCGCAATTTATTCGGTTTAAATAATTATCGAACTCAACTAAAATTATTTTTTTCTTATTAACTAATTAAGAGGACAATTGTAGTATTGATTATAGTGTAGAGAATTTAGTGATGACAGAAATAATAGTGAAATCCAATTTGATTACGTACGGCTGTAGTAGTAATAAACATTTATTTACTTTCATTATTTGTAATGGTCCCGCAGGTCGTTATAATTTGTGAAACAGTGTTTTTTAATTTATGAACTACAACTAAGAATCTATCGATTCCAACTTTTATAAATAAAAATTTAAAATCGAAAATCGATAAGATTCATGACTGACTTGACACATCCCATCCCTACTAAATTTCAAATGGAATGTCAAACTAATCTATCTTATTAAGACGAAACTATAAATTTTCTTATTTATAATATTAACTAGTATGATAAAGCACGTCATGTAATAAATACATACAGTAATAGTAATTAAACGCCGCTACAACAATAATACTATACAACATTAATTTTCTAAAAAAACAATAGACAGCAGTGAGATAATTTTCAGAGTGAGACATGTAGGTACAGTAGACAATGTTTACAGAAGACACATTTATGTCTGCTAATTATGATATCACAATATCTACACTCAATAAATAGCGCGCTTGAACGTACTATTAATACAAATCGTATTTCGTACAAATGGTATAATATTTTTTTATATCTGCTTGTCTGGGCGCAAGTCCGGAATTTTTCCGAGTAATCGCAGAAATGGTCGGACCGATTTTAACAGGACTTATAATAGAAAGTAGCTTGTGTAGGCGCCAGTAACATGGGGCAATTCTTGTTGAGTTGCAGGATGACGTTGGCAAATTGAATCTAATTCCTCTTCAATGGGACGGTGCCCGGACTAACTCGGAGGACAGAGCGCCCTCGCCCGCTGGACCCCGCCCCTCCCGGCCCCGCCCCGCCGCGCCCCGCAGCCGCCATGTTCAAAAGGTTTCGCCGGCGGCGGCCCCACATTCCGGCGACCGTGCGAAGGTCCGCGACAACCGGCACTTTATCGATATCGATAATGACAATATGTCTCAAACTGACAACATATGTAAGGTGTTATGGGCCCTCGGTTGTCTACGTTTATACTCGTATTACATTCAGCTTTGTAAATCATCAATTATCATCATCAAATTCTCTTGAATTGTAAAATAACATCAGTATTTTGTTATATATTCTTTCAAATATTTAATATATTTATGATTCCCTGGGCTGTTGTTAATAAAATGCCACCGATGGATTAAACTAAACGTAACGCGATCCTAATTAATCCTTACAATCCATACAAGGGAACGCGGTACGACCGCTTCGTATGCACGGCGCCGCTTGGCAGCTAGGCACAACACTATCCCCATATTATTTTGCTCCGCGGAAGGAATTACTAAACATATATCACTCGATGGCATCTACGTTTTCATATTAAAAATGCCGAGCCGTCCCTCCCCCTGCGTATGTCGCCGCACGCGAGGGCGCGCGGCCTCCCTCTCTGCCCGTCTGCCCACAGTAATGTCGCAAACACACTAATACATAGATATAGTGCATGCGTCCATTGCTAGTGCGGGCTGGTTGACTCTCGCGGCCTGGGAGCCTGGGACTCAGCACAGTGGGGAAACACAGTATTTATATAATAAACATTGTATACCGGTAAATAAAACTAGGACCATTTCAGCGCGAACTGGAGATAACAAATTAATCAAGCAATAAAAGTTTACAGAAGACGACACGAGGGGTGGTGACGCTGCGGCGACGCGGCGGCTCAAGTTTGATACGTCACAAGAATACTCTTCTGTGAAAGTTCCATCTTTACATTTTTCACTATTACTATGCTAAACATAACCAAGTAATTAATACGAGAACGAGATATTGCGGTACACTTGCAACTTGCTACACAATTTGTAACGGAATTAATTAATAAGAAAATAGCGGGCCACGGAACTTCTATGTCATAAGTATTCATAGATAGAAATCGAAAACAACCAAAGTTTTGGAAAATGTAGTCTATTCCTGCGCTGGTTTTAGCGATTTTAAATAATCGCCATTAGGACGCACTATTTCACGACGCCTACGTGCGGCGCGGCGCAGCGTGCAGTGCGGTGTTGTAGCTCTCACGTGTATATAATTTATTATATACATAGATGTATAACGTTAGGAGAAATTCCCGCTCCGCTGTCGCTCGGCTGGGGTTCTTATATGACGCGCGAGTTAAATAATCATCGCGAGTTATTCGGAGGGCGCGCATCCGACGTCCGCGGGAGCGCGGGGGAACACGGGGGGCAGGCGGTTCGGGAGGGGAAGAGGTTGAGGAATTTAATTCGGCGGCGCGTCCCTCGCGGTGCAAATTAATTTTAATCACCGTCATTAGAACAGGAGCCGGCGGCTTTGAAGTCGCCGCGCGCGGTTTTTGCGCGGCTTGGCCGCCGCCGCTGCCGCCGCCGCCGCGCACGTAGCCATTCAGCGAAATGGTTCATCATTTAAGATAAACAATCGAAAGTAACTTTTTAAACAAACTTTAAATCATATTGAACCTGTTCTTCGTAGTCAATATTTAAGTAATAAAAATATTTTAAGTGGAATTATAAAAAAGCATATTCTAACCCTAATGTTATCCTTATAATGTCAGGAATTTGGTTCATTACATTTGGAATTGCAGGATAAATGTAATAAAGGGCCCTGCCCTCTGATGCGTACGCTTCAAGTAGGAGGGTAATAAGACTGGGGCAATATGCAATATGCAGAGCGAGTGCGGCCTGCCAACGCGCTTTCGATATAATTTAAATCCCTTCATTTCCCATCATTAGTTTGATCTCGATGGACTACGCCGTCGATGTAATATGAACAGAGAAAACGTTTTTGTTACGACTTGGTTCCAGATCAACATTTGTGATAAGTTCTGCTAAAAGCACCCAAGTGAAACCGTGAAACCGGTCAGAGACTAAGTAAGTAGGTAGTCGATAGTAAAATGCGATCGTATTGTTTTCCTGCATCCGAAATTTCATTACTAAACAATCTGGGAGAAGGTTAAATCAAATGCACACAAAGAAACAATTCTATACAAAGGGATCCCCTGAGCGCGCACAAAGCGGCAGGGGTACGGTGCCAGTGGATTAGTGCGGACGATCTGACAGTGGGCCGCTGCAGGTCGGGGCCGCGGGACCAAGCGAGCACCAGCGGCCAGCAGCAGCAGTCGCGTGACAAGCTGCCTGCAGCCACGATTCATTCGAGCTGACGGCAAACGACAACGCCTCTCCGCTAAATAATTACTATTCAAGAATTCACAACTCGCCTGGAATCTCTTTGAGCAAAGAAAATATTTCAAAGGCCGCACGGTGCCGCCGCTCTATATCGTTTGTTTGTATCAACAAATGTCCCGGCCCGTCCCAGCCACAGCCGCCTGTTACGCGCAGTCGCCGGCAGCTCCGACATGAATGATTATAATAATCTAAATTGTTATTCGCCAATATTCTACTGAACATGACATGTACATGAACACGACCACGTGTGAGACAGACAAGGGTGACCGTCACGCTGCGCCGAACGGTAGGTGTAAAAGACGAAGAACGCGAACAGCAAGCAACAAGCGGCGAGCGACGAGCGGCGAGCGGCGAGCGGCGAGCGGCCGAAGCAAAAAGTCAACGATACTATCGTATGAGTGTGCAAGGGGAGGGCGGAGGAATGCGAGGTCGCCTGCGGCTTTCATCTGCCGCCGTCCTCCCCCCGCCACCTCTCCGCCACCCGCTGCTGATCTTATAAATTAGCTCGGACGTCTCCCGGCACAAAGACGGTGGTAGTGCGCTCTTCTCAGCCCGCCGCCCAACGCCCGCAACCGACCTCTCCATTCAAAAGTTTCCAGTTTGTTTGGTTACGTACCTACCTATTCTATCATGTTTGTATTGTATTATTATTATATTTTATTTTAAATGTTATAATTGAACTGGAATGTGGAACAGACAGTGAGCTGTGTGAGCGCTGTCGCTGCAGGAACGTCTAAAATTTGACATTTTTTAGTATTCCTTCACTCAGAAATTCCGTTACAAAGGTCATTTTTCAGGCCTATGTTGCTGTCGTGGCCAGGGATCAAATAAGCTTTATAAATAAGATCATTTCTTTTTTTAGAAGAAACATATACACATGTGATTTTATTTTTTCGGCCAAAAGGTAAATATTTTCTTTCTTTCCACTAGGCCAGTTAACTATAGACTAAAATTTGCTGAAACTTAATGTATCAGTGTTGCAAGGTAGTGTGTGGTAGGTACTGACCGGGCACGGCGGGGTAGGAGTAAGGCGCGCAGGCGGCGGGGTCGAGGTGCGCGTGCTGGGCGCCCCACTCGACGGGCTTGTACTGAGCGTGCAGACCGCCGCGGCCCAGCAGCAGGCCACCGTAGCCGACGTGCTGGTAGTCGCGGGCGTAGCCGTACGGCTGGTGCCAGGGGTCGTACTCGTACAGCTCGAGGCCGCAGCCCGGCGCGCCGGCCGGCCCGCCAGGCGCGCCCGCGCCGCACGCCGCCGCGTTGAAGAACGAAGCTGGCAGGTTTCGCGACGCCAGCGGCACACTCTCTGCGCACACATGGACACACGTTACAACCACATCCATTTCCACCTTCACCTACACCTAGCATTCACACTACGACTATACCCACCTTTAACTCATACTTACTATGATACTTGAATTATATTTATTTAAATTACAAGCTCTGTCCGCGTGAAGTTTAAAAGTTCTAAATTTACGTTCGCTCGTTTTTCCCCCTATTATCTAAAGCGTTAACTTAGTAGTAATCTACGTAATACCAGAAATCTATTGATGTAAGATGAAATTTCTAAGCCCGGTAGTTTGTTTGCTAATTTTTCAGTTACTCTTGTTGTTTATGTTCGCTATATCTACTAAACTTTTTGTCCAATATAAAACTGTAAAGGACTATTATTCTACACTAGCTGTTCCCGTGCGGCTTCATCCGCATGAAGTTATAAAAACTTTATTTTTTATTGTTTCATCATCACCAGCTCACTATACGTCCCCACCGAGGGGCTCGGAGCCTACCCTAAAGTTAGGGTGACTAGGCCATAGTCAACCACGCTGGCCAATTATTATTTATTGTTAACATTTGACAAATTCTCAATTTCAAATGTCAAAATGCCATGACATGATGACAAACCATGGCAACCTTGCTTCCTTAATGTTGGCAGCTCGTAGTTTATGGTCTGTTCCCACAGAGTATAGTGTGTCTAAATAAGATAGATAGCTTGATAAATGACGCATATGAAGTATCGAATTCAATTTGTATGAAAGTATATGCCATACTTAATAGACAGGTATCGTAGTGACGAAACAAACACGCAGCGAACAATTTTGAACTATCGATATTCGGTTTAAATAATTATCGAACTCAACTAAAATTATTACTTTCTTATTAACTAATTTAAAGGACAATTCTAGTATTGATTATAATGTAGAGAATTTAGCAATGACAGAAATAATAGCGAAATCCAATTCGATTACGTACGGCTGTAGTAGTAATAAACATTTATTTACTCTCATTATTTGTCATGGTCATTATTAATTTGAGAAAACAGTGTTTTTTTTATTTCATGAGTTATAACTATAAATCTATCGATTCCAACTTCTATTAGAATAAAAATCAATAATAGATAAGATTCATGACTGATTTTACACACCATCCCTACTAAATTTGAAGTGAATTGTCAAACTAATCTAAATTATTTAGACACACTATAGTAGATGCTTTTTTTTGGCATTTTCATGAAATAAAAAGTGACATTTAATGTTAGGGTAATAGTGACAAGTTGGTGACAAGGCTTGTCAGTTCACTTCGCGTCTTTACCTAACGCATTTTGTGTGGTTTTTAATGTTATTCCTTAAAATAAAATGATGAAAATGTTTAAAAGTAGTGCAAGAGCGTTTTATCGCTGAGAAGTAGGGGGATCCAGTAATCACATTTGAAAATGTGAATCATCTTGTGTCTGTGGCAATCAGAATTTGTTATCGTTTTTAATTCAAGAAATTCTCTCAAGGCAACGCATATTGTGATTTCAAAAAAATGTCAAATACTAATTGACTTAAAAATATTTTGCTGAGAGTTGTTTTATTTTCTATTTCAAATTGCAGTGATAGATTTTTGTGCAACTGGAAGTATGGCCTTCTTGACATAAATTCCATATTTACTTACGTAATAAAGAAATTATTGTGTGTACTCAGTAATGTATCAAAAACTAATCTATATCTTTACTAATATAATAAAGCGTAAACACTTAGGTATTATTTTGTGGCGTAGGATGTCAGCAATCACAGCATGTTTTTGAATATTCCTTTCTTTAATAAAAAGCCCTAAACTTACGACATGCATTAGGCTATAGATTTTTACGATGTTAAATTTGGGGTTTTGATGTTAAATAAATGAATTAGAAAAAAATCTTCGTCTGGGAAAGGGAACATCAACTACAAGCTACCAACATTAAGAAAGCAATGGCAACCTTGCCATTTGTGATCATGTCATGTCATTTTGACATTTGCAATTGATTATTAGACAAATGTAAACCTTAAAATTAAAACCATAAAACATTCATAATTTTATGCGGATGAAGTCGCACGGGAACAACTAGTTGTCTGATATTTTTTGACCGACTTCCCAAAAGAAGGAGGTACTCAATTCGTCTGTATGTTTTTTTTTATGTGTTATGGCATAATAAAACGCACAGTTCATACCACGGGGCATAACCATATAGTTTGTAATGTGCTTTAATTGTAAACATAGCGTAAAAATATATAGCCTTAAGCGTGTCGTGTAGGTTTTTTTATTAAAGAAAGAATTAAAAAATATACTGTGATTGCTGACATCATACGCCACAAAATGTGTGTTTACGCTTTATTACATTATAATAGATTAAATTCTCCTAACAACAAAAGCATTTATTTAGATAAGGATTAATATTGAAAGCAATAAAACAACGATGCAAATAACATGCCTTTTTTAATTAATTTTGCAAACAAAAAAGTGGTGATTGTAAAAAACCGTCAAAGATAAATATATGCTCTTGCGCTTTTTTTAGAACTTGAGATGAAATGAGATCTAAAATTCATCCATACATCATTTTTAAGTACCTGTGTAGGCAGCGTAAGCTGAAAAAAGTCAAAATGATTATTTAACGCGAGTTAGTAATATAGATGTAATTCGTATACGGCGCTAAACAAAAATTGGTACAGAAAAGAAACTCGCTTGTTGTTGTCGATGGCTGGCAGTGACCAGTGACACGAGAGACATCCATTGCTGACGGACAAGAACAGTGTTGGCGAAAAAAGTAGATACAATGCGCAATGGCAGGTGGTTTGACGAGCTGTACCAGTTCCGTTGTCCACAGGGCAGGCGGCGAGGCGCGGCGCGGCGCGACGGCTAGTGACAGCGGCGGTGTCAATAGGTAATTGACCACAAGTCTCATATTAATTAATTATGCTCCGTACGGGCGACGGCGGGGGCTGGGCAGCGCGGGGGGAGTAAGACTCACTCATACGGCGAACGGCGAGTGACATCGACAGTCAATTAGGAGAATTTGAATTCATTCACTCATTCCTTAAATAGCTTAAGACAGGCTCTGGATTTGTGACACATGTGGGGCGCGCGGTCGCTCGCGGACCGGTTCGCCGCCGTCGGATAATCGCATACATGAATAAGTTATCATAAAACGAAAACAAACATTGAAAAAATATAATGAACTTTGTGCTGGTGTGGTGACTTTTAGCCCTAGAGTGTCCCGCAGCCCACAGCTGGGCAGTGTTAGGCAAGATTTGATTGCAATTAACAATTAAATATTACCCACCAATGCCGAATCATTCGCTCCGCTCTGACACTTTGCTAGTCAATAAGAAGTGAAGCGGCAGTGAAACCGCGAAACATTATCATATTTTATAAATATACTGTCCAAATTAACAAAGTGTTCAATGAACTTGTAATGTAAACGTGTAACTTGTGCCTAAGTTAACGAGTGAGGCGGCGCGCGGGGAGGGGGGAGGGTAGTGGGGAAGTTAAGTTATTCTTGTAAGCTCTCTTGTGCCGCCTCGTGCCCGGAGCTTCCACAAATCCGAGCATTGTTCAAGCCTCGCATATCTCTTCATCAAATCTCACTTGACAAAATAATCTTAGAAAACTTTTGAAGGTTGATATGGTCGTAAACTTTCAGATTGAAAAGTTATTATTTTGACAAGCAAAGTAGAACTTCTTGTTCCTTGATTTGATGAGGAGTGAGCTTGTGGGCGACGGCCAAGCCGTTGCCGGGCACGGCTGGGCAGCGTGCCTACCGAGTGCGCGCTAGCAATCCTCCAGTAGAACAGAAGCGCACCGCAGTGCCGCTTCGCTTCACCGCATTGCATACATATTCATTATCTATTCCGCAACTGATATCGAACGGGCAAAAAGTGCCGACTTTTATTCAGACACAATCCAACGCATATTATACAAATCGCCGGCCAGGGACAGCTGCCCCAGACACGGACAGACTCAGAGTATTAAAATCTAACGCCACAGAGGCGTGCTCTGTCACACATCGGTAGAACGTCTAGTCGTCGAGTTTTTAGATAACTATTTTAACATAGTTACGAAGTTAGTATCAATTTTGCATGTTAATGCTCAAAATACAAGATACGGATTTCAAGAATGCCTCGTTGTCGGTAAGGTGTTGGATGGTGGTGGTGGTGGTGGTGGTCAAGTGAAAACATTAACGATAAGAAATAAATAAAAACGGTCATTACATCGTTACTCTAATATCAAATACATTTAGTTACGACACGGGTCAGTAGCACATGCTGTTACTACAAAGAATGTCGTGGCAACAAAAGCACAGACAAACTCAGATAAATGGACAGATATAAGCCCTAAGAAGGTTTTCAAGAATAACGAAATATTGACTAATTATGAGAAATAAAAGCGTTGCGGCGGGCGTTCGTCGGCAAGTTGTCACGCAGTGGCGCGGGCCGAAACAGCGCGGCCAGCAACAATGGGCTAGAGCTGGAGCCCCGCGCTCCCCCCCGCCCGGTACGACGAAGTGCGAAAAAATCCTCAGCGGCTTCGTGGAACACGGTCGCGGTCGCGGTAAATCAGCGCTCGGTCCTTCTTTGCGACACATTTAATTGCGGTTCGAGCCGCCTCCCCTCCGCCCTTCGTACCACAGCACAAAGCAATATGTTCTTATATGGGTTATGGATCTTTCTGGACACATCTTAGACTTGCCACTTACTACATGAAGACAAACCTAAATTACAGTGGGTATACGAAAGTAGTTGTCTGCATTATGGCATGGCCGACGTTGATTGCCTTGCGTTGTCAATGTAATCGTAGGTACTGAATTATATAAGGTGTCCAATTCCAGTATCTGATGACGTCAGCAGTACGTCACGCCTTTAAGCGGCATGATAACGTTACAATATTGTAGCGACAGCGGCGCTGAGTGAGCGGCAACAGCTCCTTCGGTATTCACATATTTATGGAATTCTACACGTTTTTATAGTCGACGACATACCTCTCAAACTCAAACACATCTACACAAACGATTTTTTTTTATTACACAACGAGATGTATTTGCTTGATAGTTTAAATACAAATTCAATTTGGACATAAAAGCTTAATTCGAATAAGACTTCGGAATCATCGAGGATATTAATTTTGATGAAAGTATTCAATCTCATCACCCGGAAATAAATAAAATAATATGTATTTTTCGACAAAAGATTTAAGCTAGCGATGTCTTTGAACAAGTTTTAGTGGTGGAATCAATGCTGCTGTCCAATGAGAGCCGTGTAGGAACATATGTATGTGTCGAGGGCAGTGTAGAGTGTAGACACAGCCTTACCACTCACTATTACAGCACGACTAGATAATGCCAAGTAATTGATTCAATTATTTCTTCTTAAGGTAACGACTATAGTATTAAAATCTTCCGCGTTTTGCAGTAAATATGCGCAATTATGTGAAACAGACAAACTTACGATGAATTAAATATTAAAATCAAAATTAGAATAGAAGATGGTCTTTTCTATTAACAATACCATGAACCTATGGACTTAAAATGTATATCGTTGAAGGTCTAGTCGCATGGCTGCCGCTAGGGCTTGGGTGACAGAAAATAATAAAATACCCGACCGACCTTTTACCATAATCCCGATTAAAGCCTTTACTTTTATCTATAGAATATCTAGGATGACTGTAGCATGTCCGATTCATTTTAGTAGACGACGAGGTCTGTGCAATGTGAGGGCAAGATTTGTGTTTACACAAGATCTTACTTTACATCGGCATATCGGTTCACAGAAAGAGAGCGCATCGCACAATGCAGATGACAGGGTGCAGAGCGCAGGGGACAGGGCGCAGGGGGACAGGGCAACGTGTTTTTCTCGGTGGGAATCACTAATTAGCTTCGGCCGTTTGATCTGCCGGCGGCATTCGGCCCCTGTCGGCCGGACCCCCCGCCCGCGACCCCGCGCCTCCTCCCTACTACGCTACTAACTCACATTTCCTTTTATAACAAAAAGTTTCATTAAATACGAAGGACTTTATGGTTTATTTTAAAGGCAGCGTGGGTTTATAACGGTCAAGGAAAACGCACGGTAGTTTTATTGAAGCATATATTCGACCCATTGCCCATTGCGGCGAGACACTGAAACGTTCTTGGTCGAGAGAAATGACGCGATTTAATTATTTACTGCTTTACTTGTTGATCTTCCTTGCTTAACTGCAAGCTGGGGCGGCCCACAGGCGTCAGTCGCCGTCGTACAGTACATGTGATACATCACATCACTTGTTTTTAAAATTTTTTAAACGGCGAGACTCGCAAAGCTAATTTTGCGAGGTCTTGTGCAAGGAATTTAAAAAAAAGAATCTTCAGCAATAAAGGCTTTATTATTATTATTATTATTATAGTTCACTAGTTTTCGCCCACGACTCCGATCGCGTGGAATTAAATAAAATTAAAGTGAGTTGCCTATGTGTTCTTTAAGGTTATTCTCTACATCTATACCAAAATTCATCCAAATCCGATCCGCCTTTTAGGCTACAAACTCTAACAAACATCCATCCATGATCGCATGATGAAGACAATCTCTCATAATACTAACGTCCATTTGGAGGGCATTGGTAAATATACCCTTTATAAGCTTTAAAAATTAATGTACTTACCTTTGGGTTTATCGATGGCGAGAGCGCGCGCAAAGTGCTCATCGACGACGGCGGCGACGTCGCCCGCGTAGTGTGTGAACACGACGCAGTTGGCGCTGAC